AATGCAATATTCAACATTAGTTTTTAGGAAAAAATTATAATTCAATTCCTTTACGAATGTTTAGAGTACAAACAGACTGAAAAAAGTTGTTTCAGCATAATCCACCGATATTAATCGAATACAATGTTCTCTACATAATAATTGTACAATTTATAGAAGAAAGATATCATGAGTAGAAGGTATTTGAGAAGTCACAAAGTGTTCATGTACTAGTTATCTTCGTCAAGGTCCTCAAGGTGTCTCTTCACGGACATTTTCTTCCACACGATATTTAGGAATTTATCTGGACCTACAACTACTGATTTTTTACTAGTGCCACCGGAAAAAGTCTTAAATTTTTAATGCACCTGGGATACGAAGTGGTTCAAAGATTAAAAATATACCTGATCGTTACGTCTTAAGGCCTTTGGGAGTGGGCCCAATTTAGTTGGGGGCGCATACTATGTATGGCGCATGAATTAATTGTTGAAACAGCAAAAATCTCATTACTTTCACCACTAAAAACAAGAACAAAATACATAAATTCGTGGCAAGTACAAAATACATAAATCTCAAATGTGATAAATTCGTGACTGTTCTTTTGTTTGCCAAAATCCAATTGGTCTTATTGAAAGAAATCCTCTATACAAGTATCACGAAGTAGAAAGTTTTATTTGTTATATTTAGGTTAGGTTAGATTAGGTCCAAAGTGAGTGTGTCTATTCGACCCTCCACCGCAACCCGCAAGGGTTTATTGTGGCTGATATTTACTCATATACCCAAGAATAATAATTTTTTGTTTCAATAAATTGATGGATGTTACCGTTACTATGTGGTAGGAGATCATAATGAAAAGAGAAAAGAAAATTTCTATGTTTTTACCACTTTTATTTATAACTAACTTTACTGCAGTTTCGTCCTATATGGACATTCTCAAACTTATACTTATCGTATAAGTTTGAGAATGTCCATATAGGACGAAACTACAGTAACGTTAGTTACAAATAAAAGTGGTAAAACACATAGAAATTTTCATTTCTCTTTTCATTAATTTTTTATTATTATTTATTATTGAAATTTCAGTTAGTTTTTTTCAAAAACCAGTTTCACCCAGTATTATTTAACAGTCGAGTTCCTTCTTGTTCTCTGCTCTTCAAAGTTTACTTTCAAATAATACGTTCTAATTTCATTTGTGATCTCCCGCATATTTCATTGTTTCAGTTTCATAATGTCAAGACTTCCTTCCTTGTTCCCCCATGTTATTATAAACAGAATATAAATGTAAGGAAGTGAATTTATGAAAAAGGAGATCGTCCTGATGTTCATTTTAATGCGGGTGAAACAGCTAATTTTTTTTTATTCGAATAAAATGACTTTTCTTTTCCATTTTTTATATTTTCTGAAATAACAATTCTATTCGTAAAAAGTAAAAAAACAGCATTTTTTGTTTTTCCTGTATAATTCGAGGAGATTTTTTGACCACTGTACTGTTTTACCGTTAACCAACTGTCGCACCCTTACGAACAATGACTCTCAAAAGTCAAAACTTGTGCGAGCTAAGGACTAACGAGGTCTTACCTTTTAACATGTGATTACTGTCACGGTTTACAAAATATACCACATGATAAAAGAAACGGCCTGTAAATTCATACTCATATATTTTCTCAAGTATTCCCCAGCTCCGCAATGAAGAAATTGATTATGTACAGTATATTTCTATAATTAATTTTTTGTTACAGGCATTATGCACTGAAGTTTACGATATGCAGATCAGTGAGGCGGCAGGCGGAGCCCCTGCACCTGGGGCAGAACCTTGTCGATTTCCGAAGCTGGAAGAATGTGCTCATTTCCATTACGAAAGAGTGCAGCTGCCCCAATTGAGTGTCACCCTTCAGACCAACATGGACCAGTCGCTCCACTCTCAACATAGTGAGTATTTATTCCGAATATTTTTCAAAAATATTTGTTTTCATCATACCAGCTACAATGAATGTCCAGGAAAAAATTCCAGGAGAAAACTAGGTTTCTGTGGTCACTTTCTAGAAGTCAAAACAATATAGACTTGGGGATTGTTTGTAGGTGAAGAGCTGTTGTAATACAATTATTTTGAACTAATACTTCAAGAGATTCAACTTCATTTTTTTTCTTCTCTTTTGAATTAAAAAGTACAAGGTTTCTCCACCAACATGAAGTTTTTCCGTAAACCGTCATTAACCATTAATCACTCCCTCATAAACGTCAACCTTCAAAAGTCGAAACAGTTTCTAGCTAAGATCTCACAATTCAACATGCAATTTCTAGCATTGCTCCACTCATCTAGCAAACGAGTCTCTGTAATGGCCAGTTACTGTCTCCACGACTGTGTCATTCACATGTTGGGAGCCACTTTATTGAATTTGTCTCTATCTATTCTACTTGAAGTATCCGTGATTCTACAAGAGTGCTACTTTTTGTATTCACTTTGTCGTTAGTTATTAGTGTATTTTTGGATTTTGAAATTACCTTCCTACAGATCGTCGCAACAGTTTCTACAACGGAAGGTAATGGCAGGAGCTCTTTTGATTAAGAATTGTACATATTCCCAGCTACTATAGAATTGTTTTCGCACATCTTTAATATGAACTACTGGTCATGTGGTAGCTACATCACTTTCTGTTTATCTTAGCTTCAAACCCTTGCCAGTCATTTATCGATTTTTCATAATACCAAGTACAAGTCACAATGGATCTTTTTTCTTTATTTCTTTTCATCTTCGTTAGCATACTCGAAGGAAGCAAATTCAATAAGATAGCCCTAGAGTATCTCCATTTTTCACCCGAATGCAGTTTAGTCCTTCACTTTACTTACTTACTTTTCAATTCCCACGACGACCACATCTTCCGCACTTATAACGGTACCTGCGTCATATTTTCTTTGGGATGTTTACTTTACCTCATCGTACTCAGATTTAAGAAGGTTCCAGTTCTTTCAAGACCAACGATTGGAGGGGCTGCTGTGTCAAACTTACCTGATATACGAAAATTGCCAGTGGAACGTTGAAAGCTTCAAATCTTCAAGTCTAGCTTTCTTCAATCAACTTCTTGAAATTCAGAGATCTTTTGGAAATTGAAATTTGTTCATTTCAAGTGAATTGCTGATCTTCCGTTCCTGTTTATGATTCGGTTTCTGTTCTGGCATCATGGTTTTCAGAATTTTGTTAACATCGTCATCTCATTGAAGTTGATTACTGTAGTATTTACCACGGAAATGTACTCAGAACCGCACATTTTCTTCATTACTATTTATCTCACCACTGTCACCAAATGTTTTCAAGTTCAAATATTTTGAACCTTTGAAGCCGTAATGAATATTACTGAAGTTTTATCCCAACACCAAACCGTTATTTTTAACACCTCGACATGTGTTTCAATCACCAAGTGATCATCTTCAGAAGAAAGATCGTATGGAGGTGGTAAAAATAACGGTTTTGTGTTGAGATAAAACTCCAGTAATTATCAAAACCTATTATTGTTACATTAATAAGTTTTTTCACAAAATTTTCGTAAATATGTAGTGTTCTACATGGAATCCAGGTTCGTCTTGATAATTTATTCACTCATCTATTTTTCATTTCCACATTTTTACCTTTCATAAGAATCGTGATCAAACAAAAAAATGAGAAGAAAGAGAAGATAGTAAAAGACACCTTTTATTTATTTTTTTTCATATGAATATCATTCTAAGCCCTAGTTTCATTTTATCCTTTTTAGGATAAGACTGATTCAGTTATTGAAGAATCTTTTGAAGCAAACATTTTTTTCAATTAACTTGATTTAATTTGAATGATAAGTTGGACTCGAGTGAACATTAACTTGTTCTTGTTATATCTAAGTATACAAAAATAAAATCATACCCGGCGTTAAAATCTCAAACTTGCACCTTCTGCTGAAAAAAATCCGCTAGCTCGTTGATTTACAACTTTTCAAAATTGAGATGATTATCTCGGATACTAGCGTTTAGGTTAATGAATTGTATCTGGCGGCTGAGGATTCCCAGTCGAGAATTAATTACCATGACGCAAGTAGTAGTTCGCCTAACTCTTGATCTAATAGTCGTTGGTTTGGTCCCTACTTCCACTAGATATTTTTCTCGGGAGAAATCATCTAGTTGAAGTTGGGATAATTCTGCAACGTTATATGATTGACGGACTTCGAATACTCATGATGCTTCTTAGGTGGTTCACGGAGTTGTTAACGTTGCCTACCCAGAACACCAGGCTAATGGCCATAGTTGTCGATGCCGTTAACACAAAAAAAATTAGAAAAGTGGTAATTTAGTAAGAATCATTAGTATTTAACAAATAAATCATCTCAAACTGTATTTATCCATTAACATTTTATTTTTTTAGCTAATGAAGATACCGACATCGAATGGTTCATGGTCCAAGTAACATCGGGTGACGCTTGCTGGATTATTCAGAGGAATTTCGAAAACTTTAAGATGCTTGACGATCAACTGCATCAGTGCATATTCGATAGAAAGATTTCTCAGCTCCAGGATCTCTCTACTCAATCACCGAATGATGAAGATCTCGAGGTAAAATATATTTCTGGTTTGAATTGAAGAGGTTGTATTTTTAGCAGTGATTAATTTTTTGGAGAGAAAGTTTTTGGTTTTCTACTACTCCATCTTGATACAAAACAAAATGTGGGAATCTTCCAAAGAAAAGAAAAAAGTAATCAATTTGAAAATAAGTAACTCTATACATGGATGTGTAGATCATGCAAAGAAGCAACTTTCAGACACAAACTGGAAGAAAGCCCTCCTGAAACAACCACTTTCATATAAACATTGAATTACACGCAAGAAAAAAATTCTTTCGAAACAAATACTTTTATATGAACACTGAATTATACAGAAGATACGTTTCTCTGCTCAGTTTGTATTTCTGATCTTATGATATTCTTGAAAAAAAGACATAAGAATGCAGATTTCTGTAATAACGTAAATAAGGGTTACGGAATTTCACTAACAGAAAAGACTAAAATATTTGAACTATCTAGGGTGTTCTGTAAAATCAGTGCTAAAAAGCGCCAAGGATCTAAGCGCAATGTTGTGCAAGAACGGGTTTATTAGTCCAAAAATTGGAACAATAGTTTGGGATGGAATCATTAGGATTCGTAAAAAATATAATCATCAATTGCCGTTTCGGACTCTAATAAGTCCATCCTCATTTTCACTTATAATTGTCGAACTCAATAACAAAATATTAGCAGAAACATCTTCACTCGTATTTATGAATATTGAAAGGATCGTTTCTGAAATCTGAAGGAGACACTTAATTTGATCGTCATATCTATTGATTAGCTTTCTTTCTTGGCATTGAAAGGCGATTCTGGCTTAGCTTTTATCGAGTTCGATTTGTCAAGGCGGCATGACATTTCGAAAGCTCGACGATTTATGATGCAATCGGAGAAACACGCCTTTACTTTAGCATCGATTTCTGCTCTGGGCTTTCGTAGTTGTAATATCAAACCGTAATTTATATGCAATGCATGGAAGATTATGAAGGACAATTAAAACTAACATTAAAATTGAAAAACCTAAATATATTTTTTATTGAATTTCCGTTCTCACTCATTAAAAGAAAAAATTTGCTTTTTGTAGGAATGCAGAAGAACCGCTTCAAAAAGCAGTAGAACACTATTCATTTGTTTATCGCCTTTAAACAGGCAGACGATGTTGCAGTCTATCTAGGTTGTGAGGTTTAGGTCTCCAATCAGGCTGGGGACCCTTCTCCGGATAAAATCCGACAGTCTCAGAAAACAATGTTAGGGTATGCTAAGAACCGGAAATGCATATATGTGGACAATATTCCAAAGATGGCGTACTTTGACCTTTATAAGCATACAAGTTGCTGAGTTGTAAATAACTTTCTATGTATGGAAAACTGTTTTTTGTGTCCAGTTACATCCAACAAATCATTCGACGCAGTTGGTGGGATATGCGGTTTCTTACATCATTATACCCCACCGTACCACATTTACTTTCTCGGAGAAAACTGATTCCTGCGTTCTCTTAATATTTAATTCTACTTATTTACTGTCACCAAGTCTTCATTGATATTTTACCCGTTTTGTTAGCGAATATGTGCATTACGTGACATTACGTGTTCGAGAATCTGAAAGATAGAATAAAAATGCAATATCGGAAAACACCATCGTTGATATTAAAGATATCCGAATAAAACTATCGATGGCTATGATGATTGATTTGCAATAAATCAATGTTTTGTCCAGTTTGATGTGATAGTATGTCCAAATCTAGTGGAAAGGCTGTGAGCCTGGGATATAAAAACTTGACGGGGTTTATTGTAATACCGACTTTAGTTTTGGTTGTTGTTAACGAATAGGTTAAGCTTTAGGTTGGTTGAGTGAAGGTTTTAAACTTTTTTTCATATAAACATGATGTCAGAATTGCATTCCTCCAGTTTGACTGTTGATGAAATTTTGTCTTTTCCCTATGAAGTTGACCAAACATAAAGTGTTATACCTATAGTTAATCTTGTAATCAGCGGTAAATTATTTAAAATAAATTGGTTGGACCTACCTGTAGCTACTGCAATTCAAAGCCTTAAAACACATCTGTACTATATAGCTTCAATTTGGAAAAGAGCTCTTTGCTATTTATCACCGAAAAATTTACGAGGCAAGGTGAATTCCAATTTTACTTGGCTCATCGCCAACCATTCCAGGTGGAATCGATACTTTCTCGTGACTTTCCAAATAGTAATTCGTTTTTCTATAACAAATTGAAAATTCTGCTACTTCTGATGTGATTTATGTGTACTCGTACATCATAATAGTTATCGGAAAAGCAAGAAAGTCCGTGAGCCCTTAAGTATTTCCGAAATGTAAATATTTGTTAATGATTTTGTCTTCATAAAACGCCACCAAGTCCTTTAATATAATGAGCTGAGCCAGAAATATTTCTGTGCGTATGATTTGTCAGTTGAAACCCATTACTGTCTACGTAGATGGGCTACAATTACCACCCCGTTAAGTTGTCGATGGCCCGACAAAAATATTTCGGCGATAGAAATACTACGAACCGCTCTCAGCTCGCCTAAAATCGGTCGAGTTAGAAATAACTCTACAGTATCAGAATTCTACCAGCACTATACTATAATTCCAAAATAGTAGGCACAAAATTCTCAGAAATTACTGACGTTTTTTCCTTAATCTGTCTCTTGCAGTGGCGTACGGAAATTGTACTAAACAGATTAGGAAAAATGATGATAAAGAATATAGAATCACAACCTTGACAACAATGTTTTCGTCGAGTCCAATTGAATTTTCTGTTGTAAGATTTGTCAATACAAAATTGTTCGGAATAAAACCACTCCTATAAAAAATTAGAAAGATTGCAAACCTTATATATCGCAAGGTCGAATTGGAACCTCTTGAATGAGTCCAACAAAAGCACTATTTACAGCGTGTCCCAGAAGTTAGTTAACAACCGTTATCTACGTGACAAACTTCATATCGTCTCATGCGTTTCCTAGTGCCAACAAATGTAATCATAGCAGGTGTGAAAGCTTTTGGTATACAATTTATCTCAGACAACCCCCTAGAAAGAATCTTGCACTTTCCACAATATATTCCGAAACTTCGTTGCAGTTTTGTTGTTAATATTAATACAATGGTGTTCAAACAATTGTGTGATTTGCTCAAAGAATTGTTTAAAAAAATTGTTTTCGATTTAATGATTTCACTATAACACTATTTATAGTACATATATACGAAGTCAATTCGTATGACATAAAATATAAATAGCTACCGAACGTCCGGCAGTTTCTTTGTATGGCATGGGCGGCGTGGTGTAATTTATGAGGTCCATTCATTATTTTTATTTGGGAGGTTTTTTATGGTATTAACTAGTCAATTTATCAGATCCGGTACATTAGTCTTTTATTTAGCTGTTTGGATTGACTATGTTGAAGAATGAATATGAGAACATCATTCAGTTTAGTTCATTTATACTTTTATTCATCTAGTTGTATATAGTTGTCAGTTTTTGTCAATAAATGCCGAAGGGAACATATCATTTTCTTCAATTAAGAAAAGTGATTAACTCCAAAAGGTTTGTTCGTGTCTTTTTTACACCCTTTATATTAGCTTCACCTGTATGTATGTTTGTTTGTTTGTAACTCTCCTTTTCATTTCATATCAGGATCTGTATTTGACAGAATTGTCGACATTATTGCTTGATCTATTCGCGGGTAGATGGCGCTGTACGTAACCTTGATATATCGACATTATTGCTTGATCTATTCAAACTCACTTTACATGTATTTATTTTTTGGCTTTCTACTACTCCATCTTGATACAAAAAATGTGGGAATCTTCCAAAGAAAGGAAGAAAGTTATCAATTTGTAAATGAATAACTTTATACATGAATGTGTAGATCATGCAAAGAAGCAACTTTCAGACACAAACTGGAAGAAAGCCCTCCTGAAACAGCTACTTTCATATAAACATATAAAAGTATTTGTTTCGAAAAAAATTCGTCTAATTCAGTGTTTATATTATGAAAGTAGCTGTTTCAGGAGGGCTCTCTTCCAGTTTGTGTCTGAAAGTTGCTTCTTTGCATGATCTACACATCCATGTATAGAGTAACTTATTTTCAAATTGATTACTTCCTTCCTTTCTTTGGAAGATTCTGTTGTCGATGGCCCGACAAAAATATTTCGGCGATAGAAATACTACGAACCGCTCTCAGCTCGCCTAAAATCGGTCGAGTTAGAAATAACTCTACATTATCAGAATTCTACGAGCACTATTCTATAATTCCAAAATAGTAGGCACAACATTCTAAGAAATTACTGACGTTTTTGCCTTAATCTGTCTCTTGCAGTGGCGTACGGAAATTATACTAAGCACGATATGTCCAATATATTCCTTTGACGTCTTTAGAGCCTCAGCTATCTCGATTAATTTCACTTTGCGGTCATCCAAAATTATTTTGTGGACTTTTTCGATGTTTTCGTCTTTTTGGCGTCCACTGAGTACATCGTACTTGGTTCTTATTTCACCACGTTTAAACTTAGCATGGTATAGGTTACTTGAAAAAATGCTCGAAATAGAATGAAATCTCTCTTAATCCAACATGGCGGACAATATGGTGGACTATATTTTTTATACACCCCGTTGACTCGGCAAAGGTGAAAGATAATTTAGTACTCTAAAAAAAGAAACAAAATTTTAAATTAAGTCAAACCCGTGAATTTATTACGTTACACATAAGTAATTCTAAAAAAAATATGTAGTTGAATCTCGCGATATTTTTCGTCATATAAATGAAATAAATTGATGCGTTTGATTAACTTTGAATTTTTTAGAGTACGTAGATAAAAAAAAACTGATTTGTTTATTCTTCCTTTATGGTCACTTCGAACCTTTTTTTCATGAACTTATCGATTAGCTAGTTTGAGTTGGTTATGTTTTAAAATATGTTTTTTCCGTTAACCAGCTATCGCACCCCTACAAACGACAACCCTCAGAAGTCGAAATTTGTATGAGCTAAGGACTAAAGA